CTCTTTCCCATTTCTACTTTCCACAGAAGCTAGTTGTGAAGCTTGCGTTAATGACCCCACAAACCATTCAGACCAAAAACGGCAATGGTTTAACTACTTACGTAGTAAGTCCAGTTTCAGACCGTTTCTATCAGATACTTGTTAGAGAGAGCATAAAACACGGCAAGGTATTTCCCCCCTTTAAGTGGAAAAGATTCACTATCCTAGAAAAAACAGTTTTGTCTCAGAGTGAGTACTTGTATCTCAGAGCTTATGGGAGCTATAGGACTATTTGCAGAATGATTCTTCCTCAAGCACTTCATTAACTACACTATTCTCTGATCCACATTAATTTAAAGGGATCATAAAGATTTCTTTGCATATGATAATGCACTATCATAAATTAAATCATTGCGATCATTTAAATTATCATATTGCTTTCAATGCTCTCTTAAGGTGTTTAAACATGGGTCTAAACTCACACATTTGTCTGTAAGACTGATTTTGATATATTATTGTGTTTTCTAAGAAACAAAATCTTGGATGGCTCACAATAGTATTCTATTACATATATGATAAACTCATATTTTATTTGTAGCACCAACTGTTGAGTCAGTACTGGCTAAAAAGCTTTTTAAGTATCCAGAGACATGTTCTCCTCTCATTTCAGAATAGTAATATAATGGTCAAATATTTACTTCTCGTAAGTTTTAGAATAGTGCTAGGTTTCCTGCTCTCATTAATAGCTTCCTATTTGTATGCAATAATTGCTTTAAAAATATTAGCAGTGTGATTTCTCACAGTGCTAGCGAGGAATTAACAGAAAGTTGTATCTCCACGCCTCCTCACAAAAGAGCATAATTCTGCTTCCCTCAACACTGATGACAAAATCTCTCTAATTTCCAGATTACACTCAAAGAATTCATGAAAGACGTGTAGTTTGACAGTCTGGGGTGCTTGTCCTTCCTAAGCACCGAGGAGACGCGACAGCGAAGCAGTGCCGGCTCTGCCAGCGTGCCTCTGCCCAAAGCAGCAGCTCCTGGAAGCAGAGAGGAGCTGCTGTTTCTCCGCTCCTCTTCAGTCCTTGACCTCTCAACAGCAGCTATCAACAAACCATGTTCTCTGTGCCGATTGTGAGAGGGTGGGATATAAACATCTGGCTACTAGGAACAAACATACCATTCATTCATTTCAGATGTCAGTTAACAACAATTTTTAACTGCTGCTGTCCTGGACACGGTGAGGAAAAATGGCAAGAATCACTCACTGAAGCAGTTGTCTAATTTGTGGTTTGTTTTTTGTTTTTTAAAAGCGTTCAGTTCAACAGAAATGAAGTTTGCACTGCTATAACTGTGAAAGGCTGCTAAAGCTGTAAACATTGGTTCTGATCTCTGCTGCCTGATTCAGGGAAAAATGAGCTTGCAAAAACTACAGAGGCAAAACACTAAGAAACAAAACATCACAAATCCGACCAAGTGACAAGAGACTCCCGAACAAAGACTCTTCAGTGTAGTGAAAGGAATATTACATATTTTAGCTGTATTCTCAGAGATTGCCTGCTTATCTTGACAGGATGGATGAGGAACTACAATTCTTACTGAATGCAAAATAAAAGGGGTAAAGTAATTGGTAATTACAATACTGCAAGCTATATTTTAAAATCATTGGTGCTATAACCAAGTGCCTTGATTTTCCAGCAAAAAGTCTCCATACGTGATCAGCCAGCACTACTAAACGAGTTACACTGCTATTAGTGATAGATAGTTGTACTATGTGGTATTTCAATAACGTGGACAATAGTTAAGCTTTATCCTTAAAGAGAAATGTCTATACAGCTGTATAACATAACTTTGGTATGTGCCAATGCTCATAGTTGGATTAATAACTTCATCACTTGTCATATAACTTCTAAATATATGTGTACTCTTACTCTCATTAAGCACATCAGAATGGGAACAGCGCCACAAACATTGAACTAGATTTTCATGTTAAGCCAAACTATGGGATCCAGAGACATAAAACCTATCTAAAGTTGAGAACATGTTTTAGCTCCAGGATCCAGGATTTAGTCTACCGTTAACTGCATATAGCACATGAACGGATGGATTTTGTATAGTTTATTCATCTTCTTGACAGATAAACCAAGATTCTATCCAGGAAATTAAGGAAGCTGTATTGTGAAAAGCTACCGTTAATTGTCATTTCACACTGCCACCTCTGGGGCCATCAAAATGAGACACGTTACTGCTGAAGCCATTTCCTTCCTCACCTTTCCAAGCCTGTTGTCCTCGTACAACAAGCGCTTTTCCTCTTCTTCCAGAGCTCTCTGTCCTCCTCAGAGCTATACAATTTGATCCTGCTCTCCTCTTGCAGGTCTAATATTCCTTAAACTGCTCCGATTCCTTCATTTTCTCTCACTTTGGACTGGACTTACATGCTGCCATTCAAGCTGTCTCCCCTACAGTCTCCAGTGTCACACCCAACACTGTCCAAAAATGTTCCCCTCGCTTCTCATAATACCTCTCTTTTTCTTTCTCTAATCATTACTGATCCCGCATGCTTCATCTTCCAAACCACTGATGGCTGTGATATTTTGTGTTCTCCAGTTTTTATTCTGCAGGAAACCTATGTATTCTAGGATTGTAAATCCATGTTAAATTACTAAAACAAATACACTGTTAACAGTCAAATCTGAACCCTTCTCTCCCCATTGTCTCCCTATGGTAATACAGTCTCCACACTGCTTTGTGTACCACAGTGGCATAGCTCTCCGCATGATCTCATGTGCATTAAAATAAGACAAAGCAAGCTGGGAACACAGCAGGGACTCACATTATCTTCCTTTTGACCCACAGAAGTTATGTGGAAGAGCTATTAAAGCTTCAGCAGATTATTATTGTGAGGCAAGAGCTACGTGCAATGAAATTCAGAAATGTAGTATCTGTGGGTTTTGGGCCATAATACAAAATATTAAAAAGCTAGAGGAATGGGTCTTTCCAAAACGCAAGGAGACATTAAAATCACCTTGGAAAATAAGAAGCATGGAATATTGATTTTAAGCATGTTCTACTAACAAGGGGAGTTTTGTAGTCAGGAGAAACCAAAGAGGTTACCAGTGTCACATGGCTACTCACACAAAGGACCTTAAAAACCTGTAGATGGTTTCTTAATTATTATTACTGCTCATGAAAATCATTACTACAGCCATGTCAAAGGACAAAAGAATTACAAAAGAACATCTCACACTGTAGGAATCCAAGTGGCCAAACTTGCTTTTTCTATAGCCAAGAGCCATTACACTTGAGAAGTCCTGGGAGAACTGTGTAAGACAGCAAATAAAACCTGCGAGGGACTATCATGAGCTATTTCTCTGTGTTAAGAGCACTACAGATAGCTCTTGCATAGAAAGTGAAGCCAGAAGGAACAATAAAAATCACTGTATATCAAAGTCAGTAGTACCTCTAAACTCAGCCCAGTAACTTGTTTGACTGCAGAGCATCTCTCAGAGAGAGATCAGTCTTGAAGCGAAAACACTAAGTTGGGAATCATCACTTTGCTCGTTTTGCCCCTGTTTTTACTGTCAAACCTATGCATAACAAACATTATCCAGAGGTTTGGTAGAGAGGGGTCTTTGGAGCCTTCAGGTAAACGTGGAGGAACCTGGACACAACCCAGGGCAGAGGACTCTGCCTTCTGTGAAACTCGCTGAGGCTCAAGTATCTCTTCAGCAGGGCTGTTCCCACCTTGCCCACCTCACATCACAGTCTGTCCTAGAAAGACAGCCAAGCTTAGTCTGCCTGTGTCCAATAAAAGGGCATCGCAGTCTGGCAGTCCAGCCAGGTAATTCTTGTGCCAAGAGGAGGGTCATCAGTTTGTTCACCGTTAGGGAGCTGCCCCCAAAATGCTGGAGTGGAGACTAAGGTTGACACTTTCTGCTCCAGGAGGAGAATAAAAAGGTCATCCAGGCAGCAAATGCAGCTCTTGGCTTCCGAAGACTAAATGAGTTAAGGATAAACGCCTGCCTACCGACCTTTCCCTTCCAGGTGCTGAACCAACTTCTTTAACCCTGCCTTAATCTCACCCCAAGCTCTCACCCACCCTTGGAGGGTGCCTCCAACAGTCACACCTGAAAGAAAAAAAAAAAACGCTTCGCTCTCCATCCTCCACCAGGCAACGGAGGAGGAAGGCGCTACCCCTCAGAGGCCCGGCCGCTTGCTAACCTGTGCCAGGGCCGGACGGGACGGTGGTGGGGAGGCTGCAGCGGGGCGGCCCAGGGCCGGAGGGGGGATACCCTGCGGGGCACCGTCTGGGCGCAGGGGGCGCGGGACCTTCCCCCGGGCTCACCTTGTGCTCCAGGACGCTGATGTAGCCCTCCAGGGGGCCCGGCTCGCCGGGGGGCGCCGGGCGCTGCTGGCCGCGTCCCGGCGGCCGGCTGGGCGCCGCC